CGAAGCGGCTCCCACGTCACCTGAAAGGCAGCAAGTCGTCCTAGCCTCTGGCCCATAGCCAACCCCAGTTTCACCAGGGGCGAAAAAAGTAGTGAAGCATGTATCCATGTACGATCTTTTCAAAACGTCGTTAAGAACACTGCATAAGATTAACAGTCTCAGAACCTCAGACCTTTACAGGAGAGGTAGCTCCCTTGGACTAATTTTTGTTCAGGCACCACAGAATCACACAGAATCACAGAATGGTAGGGGTTGGAAGGGACCTCTGTGGGTCATCTAGTCCAACCCTCCTGACGAAGCAGGGTCACCTACAGTAGGCCACAGAGGACCTTGTCCAGGCAGGTCTTGAATATCTCCAGAGAAGGAGACTCCACAACCTCCCTGGGCAGCCTGTTCCAGGGCTCCGTCACTGGGCACCACTGAAAAGAGCTTGGCCTCATCCTCCTGACACCCACCCTTCAGATATTTGTAGGCATTTATAAGGTCCCCTCGCAGCCTTCTCTTCTTCAGGCTGAACAAGCCCAGTTCCCTCAACCTCTCCTCGTAGTGGAGATGCTCCAGTCCCCTCACCATCCTTGTAGCCCTCCGCTGGACTCTCTCCAGTAGCTCTTCATCTTTCTTGAACTGGGGAGCCCAGAACGGGACACATTACTCCAGATGAGGCCTCACCAGGGCAGGGTAGAGGGGAAGGAGAACCTCCCTCGTCCTGCTGGCCACACTCTTCTTGACGCACCCCAGGATCCCATTGGCTTTCTTGGCAGCCAGGGCACACTGCTGGCTCATGGTTAACCTGTCGTCCCCCAGGACACCCAGGTCCCTCTCTGCAGAGCTGCTCTCCAGCAGGTCCACCCCAAGCCTGTACTGATGCATGGGGTTGTTCCTCCCCAGGTGCAGGACATTGCATTTGCCTTTGTTGAACATCATCAGGTTCCTCTCTGCCCAACTTTCCAGCCTATCCAGTCACCAGTGTGACTTCTCCATCAAGGGCTCTGCTTACCGTCACAGCTGAGGTGGGTTACTGCAAGATTCCTTCTGCAAGTCCTCTGAACACAAGGTTTGAGATTTTTTATGGTGTGTAGGTGTTGTTGTGTTTAGCATTGCAAGACTTATACATAACTTAGCTAAATCTTGTTTTTAGAAGTGACTGAGGTCCTCAGGCGCTTAAGTAGTCAGAGCAGGATTTTAAAAGCTGTTTGAGAGATGACGTGGTTTCATTTGAACAGACAGGAAACAAAGCAGGACCTACAAAGACGTCCTGGCAGTAGCAAAGAAAGCTTATAAACTGCCTGTCATTTTGCTTTACAACCACCAAAGTCTTCTCCTAACACCTAACTTCAAGCTCAATCCCAGAGCAAAGGGAGAAAAAATCCAAGATTGGAAAAAACGTACAAAGGAAAGGGCAACAGATGATAAATCCTGAAGGACTAGTGCATTAGATGATGGCAAATCCTTTCTGAGCAGACATCAGATGCACCAGATGGGGAGGAACTGAATGATGTATTGGGAGTCAAGAAAGCAAAAATTAAAAACCTAAAATATTTTAGTCTGTTTTGCCAGGAAAACAGCTTATGTGATCACATTGTAAGTATATCTGTGCCTCTTTCTTCTCCCACTTGTCCCTTTTCATCAAATTAAATAGAAGTAGAGAAATCTTCCAAACAATTTATGTGTCTACAACTTCCACAAAACAAATAGCCAAATAGAGAAGACGCTTTTCCGAGCTGCAACACAAACTCAACCCTTTTTTAAGAAGCCAAGAGCCCAAAAGGTAAAGTTACTCTTGTATATAATGCTTTTACTGTAGGAAAAGCTTGCGTAAGAGAGAGCAAGTCCTTAGAGCGCACTGGCTCAAGAACAAGATCTATTTACATTAGAGAACTGGCAAGATCATGACCCTCAGCTTAACAGACAACAGCTTGCTTTTGAAGCAGGCAAAGAGCAGTTTCAAGGTAAATTAGCATCAGGTTTTGTTCACCTTAATAAACCACATGTTGTAAGCTACAGCAGACGGCCAGCTGCTTCAGTATTGACAAACGTATTTGTTGAAGAAGGGAAGCTTCCTTGGGGCACCAGCAGGGAATCAACGCAGAGGGGTAATGGAGAGTCAAGCTTGAGTTGACAGTAAAACTGAGGGCAAAAAGGGTTAGTAATAAGAAGGCAAGAGTGGAAACATCTAAAGGTTGGAAATCAATACAACTCATTCACGAGCACGAACGAGGAAGTCACCAAGCAACAGGGAAAAGAGGAAACTGAGAAGACGAGGGGCCAAAGTCAAGAGTGACAGAATTCAGAACAAATTGTTCAGAAGCACAGAAAGGCGGGGGGGGGCGGAGCTAAAAGCTACTACTCACCAGAATTTCTCTCCCTATTCTTTTCTGCCATCTTACCAACCAGATTTTCTTCTCACTGTTTCTACCACCCTTTGTCCTCCTGAGACATAAAGCATTTCCTACCACCAGCTTTCCACAGGCTTCGTGCTTCTGCTTTGTAGGCAGGAGAAAACAAGACCCAATGGCAGGAAACTCAAGATCATATTCAAAGATTAACACAGGCAGCAGCTCTGACCATGCTTCCTGCCCATCCAAAGATCCTCCCCTCTTACCAAAGGCCACTTCCTACACACATCTCAAATCATACTTTATATTTGACACATACAAAGCACTCGACAGCATCTCACTTCCTGAGCAATTAAACTGCTGTATACAGTAATTAAACTTGTTGTATACATTTAGCATTACCACAGAATAAATTAGTTACTTTTTCGAAAAAATCAGTATGTCTCCGAAGCTGGAAACCCCCTTCCATAAAGACAGATAGATGGACAATAGGGGAAACTATGACATAACAGGCTTTGACTACCTGAAGTGCCTGAAGCCCAGCTGAGCCAGAACTGAGGCTTTGATGGAAATCTTACAAGTTCTGTTTCCCAAACCGGTGAAGACCAGAGCCTCAGGAAAAACTGGAAATTACTTAGCAAACAGAAAAAAAATTCCTTTAGCTATCGCATGCATGTGATACGCAGTAACCACTTGCAGCTCACAGCTTGAAAGGGTGCTTTATTTTGTTTCAGTACAGATTCAGTCCAGTTCACAGAGAACACATTAGTTAATACATATCTTCACTTTGTAGGAGAAACGGGCATGAACACGAGCACTCAGTCACCAGCCTTTTATAGCAAATTTATGCAACTTTTGTGTCGGAAGCATCATGTATGGCACACAGGTTTCACTAGCATCCCATCTAGCGGCGCTGTAACACCATCTCTAAAAACACAGGAGAGGAGGATGTAAGTCTCAAGGACTGTAAAACTATACATATACTGCTTGTGGATTTAACTGTCAAAATCTTGTGTTTGATGTTAACTTGAAAGTTTGTTTTAATAGCATGTGACCCTGAATAATACATGCTCTTCCTGTTCTTCTTCGCTTTAAGCAGCCATTGAGAGCTGAGGAGTTGGAGCAGACAAAACTGCCTCAAAACCAGGTCTCCAGGTCTCTGTGAGCTGCAGTATGCAGCCAACAGGAAGAAGGGTACCCGAATCTCAGCACAACAAAGCAATCTCCCATGTTTGACCATTTTATTAGAACCTGAAATAGCAACGAAGGCAAGGACAGTTAGCTAAATCAGTTCCTGTTAACCTAACAAACTTACTGTCCCTATTAAACATATGGTCTAGTAGCACTGATAAGGCTTTGGGTTGTTCAAAGCACAACACAGGACTTCAGAGTCCAAAAGCTCATCTACTTCCCCTACACATCCAGGCGGTCTACATAGAGACACTATCATTCTTCACAAAACCTTGCATACTTTCATCAGAGTTCTGTGATACACCTAGTACAAACTCTCCCCACCACAGACAGAAGTTGTATTTTTAAGCAAAATAAAGCCGATCAATACTGTACACAGTTATTGTCTATGTGAAAATAAAAAAAACCCCAAAAAAACCCAAATCCTATTTCCAGTGGAAGGATTAAAGGGTGATTTCTTTTAAATCATGTTCGCTGTAAGGGTGACAAAACCCCAATACCCTCCACAACCTAACATGAAACCAGCAGAAACATGGAATATACTCACAGAATGAAGATGAGAGGACAGAAAAGGGACTATGCAGGATACTTTCAGTCTGAATCATGCTTCAAGTGGCTTCGATTTTCAAAGCCATTTTAAAAGTTATGTGCACTTAACTTGCTCCTGAATAATCCACTATTTTTCTGACCTTTCCACCTAATTACTTTTCGCTCCTCTCAAAGAGCAACAGAAAATGAGAAAACAGATCATGGGAGACAGAGACAACGAAAGCAGTGAGTTAGCATGTACTATCAAGTACAGAAAATATTCTATAAGCTGTCAAATGTAAGTGCAACACAGCAACTTTGATTTTTCCTCCACTTACAGCAATCACGTTTTGAAATGTTTAAAAGAAAATATCTAAAGTTCATGCCCAAGCTCCTCAAAGTCTTAAACACTGCATCTTACAACTGCGAGAACACTGTTTGTCTTTTTATTTATAAATCAAGTCTGAAATACCTTACAATGTATTTTTAATTTCATTTTTCTAAAGAAACAGCATTTAAGGACTGAAAGAACAGTGTGCCATTAAATGTTAAGGACCACATTTTAAAAACCTTTATTTAAAAAAAGGTTATATAAGTATGATGAATTTAAGCTGTATTTTAAAGTCATCTACTTAAGCATCCCAACAACTGAAAATGAAGTGCAAAACTGGAAGTCCAGTCAAAGATGAGGCTGTAGAGTTGAGCTCAAGATAGAAGAGGTCTACCCATGGCAGGCACAGCTGCACACTCACAAGCTAACTCAGTCTGTCTCAGCCATGAATCCTGCAGATCTGAGCAACACTGCTGATTAGGTCAGCTTGATCTACTTAATATAAACTTTCCCTTTCTAATAAGAAGGATATTAACTAAAGCTTTCAGTTAAGCAATAAAACCTTTCTAATTAGCAACAAAAAATAAAAATGACATGCTTGCTGTTTCAGGCACTTTCAAGATCATAGTTTATTTACTGTAGGTAAAAAGCTAGTATACAGATTAAGGGATCCCTTAAATTTCAACTCTACAGTTATACACCATCTAGTATTCTTGCTCTGAATATTAACCAAAAAAAGTTTCTAAACACCTGTAAGCCCCACTATAAATCTGCATTGTTATGAAGAAAAAAAAAATCAATGTTTAATTTTTTCAATGCATAATATTTACACTGTGAAACCAATGGGAGACAACAAGCAGCAGCAAAGAGGCAATAAATTTTAAAAAGCCAAAGTTTTAGATATTTTTTTTACAGTAGTGTGCTAATCAGCATAATTGTATATAAAAAATTAAAATATAGCAAAGCATCCCATTACAGAAATACTAACCATTTGAACTGCAGTCATTACTTGCTAACTGTTTACATGCAACACCTGCTAGGACTGATTTTGTTTTTAAAGTGTAAAATAGATTATGAGGTTTAAGAGACAAACAATAATTTGGGTACAAAATTAAAAACCGCACTCAAGAATTGTACTGGTCATGAGCCTCTTCCATACTGGGGAGGGAGGAGAAAGGGGTAGTACAAACAATGACAGAAAGCGATCTCTTTCCTTACACTAATTATCAAAGGCAATGCATAGACTGAGAATACCTTGATGGCAAACTCTGTAGACACTGGAAACAAACAGCTTTCACACACATGCTCTGCACAGGAGGCCTTTCTTTCCATTGAATGGCAATGGCTGATGGCAAATAAGGGGCACCAGGTGTACAACTAAGTAGATCTTGCAAAATACTAAGATGGGGCAGTTGTTAATATACAATTTGAACTATATATACAATATAATGGAATGTATCCCATCCCCAAACTGCTTTATGAAACAATTGGACCTTTCTATACTAGCTTTATGACTCAGCTATGGCTCTAACGAAAATGTAAGTACACAAGACACTTGCATGAAAAGTAAAATTTATGGGGCATTTTACAGGAACTATTGACAAAGCTGCTTAATGGCATTTCTGCTTTTAAAGTAATTTTGTTAGATATAATTGAAACAACATCTGTGTATAAAATGCCCTGACAGACACTTCAACATGGAGCTTTGGTGACTTAAAAAGGCCCTTTTTTAATCTGTTTTCAATTGTTCTGCAGAAGTACTGATGCATGCACACGTCTGTCAGCTGAGACTAGTGATCAAGCTGCATGCACATTTCCTCCTTGAGGTGCTTTCCATGTTAAACCACTTCAATAACAATAAGATGAAAAATAGATTAAACAAAGTATTTCAGATAACTCAGACTGAATAGGAAACGGAATGCCAATATGGCAGTAAAGCCTTCTCCTGTTGTTTTTAAACAGGAAGGTCTCTTGTACCAGCAGAATCCTGTATACAGATACACAGAGAAGGAGGGAATACACCACTTATAATTCCCATTAAACAAGAGCCGATTCATCATGTGAGAAGGTACAAAGTACAGAAAACATGAATAGTCAATAGAAGAGAAACAACTGGTTTACATGAAAGAAGAAAGAACACTTCAGTCTGAATGCAGTTATTTTGTGAAAGCTGCTACAACAGCCCACAGAACCTCATTCGTGTTGGCTTTCATACATTCAACCTCAGGGTCTAAATCCAGAAGCTGCCGCACTCTCTTTGTGGCTAAATCATACTGCTCATCCAAAAGGGGGGCAAAAGCGTTCTCCAGAACATCTGAAGCATGGGCTAAATAAACAAGTGCCAGCAAGCGCTTGTCCATGCGGTGAGGGTCATTCACCCATTTGTCAAGAACTGCCTCCTGAACCTTCTTGATGAGGCGCTGTTTGATATTGTTGTTGGTGAGAGGGTGCGTAGTCATGTCAAAAAGAAGGAAGTTCTGTTTCTCTGTTGTCAATACACCTTTTTCCACTAGATTTTTAGCTAACCGTTCACGGACATTTCGTAGTTGGTAGTGCAACTTCAGTGGGTTCCATGTTTCACCTAAAAAAGCAAGCAAAAAACCCAACAGTCAGGCAAAGTTTAAGATGTAGTATTACAGTGATTTTTCTTCCCCAACCTGTGATGCAGAATGAGTTGTCAAATTCATATAGCTGACTATTACACTAAGATACTGTGCTAATGTCAGCATTTCTCTGGTCTCTGACCTCCCCAGTTACAGGCATAGAGACAGAGACCATGAGAGCCTCCGTGGAGGAACTTCAGTGTAAGTTTGAAGTTTGGATGAAATGCTAGCTAAGCCATGACCTGATTAAGGATGTGATAAATAAGCAGTCTTGTACTGAAGAAAAAAAGCCAAAGCTCAAACCAGTCATGAAGACAGAGTTGATTCTTAAAAACAAAAATAAGCATTTCACAGAATCACAGAATAGTAGGGGTTGGAAGGGACCTCTGTGGGTCATCTAGTCCAACCCCCCCGCCGAAGCAGGGTCACCTACAGCAGGCTGCACAGGACCTTGTCCAGGCGGGTCTTGAATATCTCCAGAGAAGGAAACTCCACAACCTCCCTGGGCAGCCTGTTCCAGTGCTCCGTCACCCTCAGAGAGAAGAAGTTCCTCCTCATGTTCAGACGGAACTTCCTGTGCCTCAGTTTCCTCCAGTCTTGTATGTTCGTCTGCTTCCAGCCTTTTACCATTTAAGAGACTGGAAGAACTTGCCTTTTTTTCTGCCACAGAGACAAGCTAATGCACACCTACCCTGTGTATTTCTTTATTTCTTCAGGTTTTTGTTCTTCTCTCCCTTCCTGCCACCACCAGGTGAAACAGTGACCATGCACTGTGTGAGTGTGTAGTTGTGTGTGTACACAGAAGCACACGTTGGGCAGGGGCTTTAATGCTCCTATAAAAATTATTTCCAATGCTTTTTGTTAAGGCAGAGCACATGACTGTGTGCACGTAGAAGAGGTAATTTTAAAAGCACAAAATCAGCATCAACAGCTACTGATAAAGCTAAAATTGTTAAGCACTGAGAAATCCACCTTTGCTTAAAATTTTTAGCTTGTTAAGTAAACTTTTATGTCCAGCCTACCTAAGTATTTAAATTCCTCTCTGATATAAAAAGTCTATGCATTTTAAGAGGTGAGAGAAGAACCAGCATTAAGTATTTCGTACATAGACGGGAGTTTTCTATAAATTATATGAGAATTTCTGTACCAATTTTTTTCTACATCAGAAAGCTTTTTAAAAATTCATTGGTTAACATACAATAACAACAACAACCACCACCACCACAGACAACTTCAAGGCTTCTCTCACTGTGATGGAGGGTGACATACACTGTATCCACATGAAAGCCAAGTTAAGTAAACAAAATGAGGTGACACCAACTCCATAGTCAAAGGCAGAGAACCCATCCAGGCCCGAAGAAGAAGAGAAGGCTGAGAGGGGACCTTATAAATGCTTATAAATATCTTAAGGGTGGGTGTCAGGAGGATGGGGCCAGACTCTTTTCAGTGGTGCCCAGCGACAGGACAAGGGGCAATGGGCACAAACTGAAGCACAGGAAGTTCCAGCTGAACATGAGGAAGAACTTCTTCACTCTGAGGGTGGCGGAGCACTGGAACAGGCTGCCCAGAGAGGTTGTGAATTTTCCTTCTCTGGAGATATTCAAAACCTGCCTGGACAAGGTCCTGTGCAGCCTGCTGTAGGTGACCCTGCATGGGCAGGAGGGTTGGACTAGATGATGCACAGAGGTCCCTTGCATCTCTACCTACACCATTCTGTGATTCTGAAGTCTCTGTAGGTCCCACACCTCACTGAATGCAATTCCCCAGCTTGACCATAAATGCAACTATCTCACACACACACACACACACACACACACACACACACAAGTAGTTTCCTTACAGTGTTTCACAGGGCAAAGGCTGTTTCCTATATCGTTCCAGGCTGGATCAATGGGCTGAGGCGAACTGTATGAGGTTCAACAACGTGAAGTGCCGGGTCCTGCACTTGGGTCACAACAATCCCGTGCAACACTACAGGCTTGGGGAGGAGTGGCTGGAAAGCCGCCTGGTGGAAAAGGACCTGGGGGTGTGTCGGTCGACAGCTGGCTGAACAGGAGCCAGCAGTGTGCCCAGGGGGCCAAGAAGGCCAACGAAATACCGGCTTGTATCAGCAAAAG